GACAGTGGTAACAACGCTGTGGACATGGTATGCCTTTGACAAAAGCTGAGAATAAAAATTTGAGTGAGTGAAACTTAAGCCATTCATCAAAGATATATCTACTGTGAGAGGAGCTCAGGGGGATCCAAAGTGACTATGGCTGCTCTTCTATCATTGGTGGAAAACAGTAGGAAGTCATACTTAAGACGGCTGTCAACTAATTCATTAAAATGTTATTAGGGTTTATCATTTATGGTCAATCGTCTGCTAGTGGAGTCTCCAACGCTGCCAATATTTTGGAGGATGCTGGCGATCCTTCCAAAGGTTGCGTTGTACCCTTTCTTGATCAAGAAGCCCGCATTTCTACGATGCTCAAAGAGACTCTGATGCTTTCTCTTGTTTTGGCCCTCTTTGTGGCTGCAACACCATTGCTTGCATTCACCCCAGGTTTGCGTGCTTCCTCTAGCTCGGCATGGAAAGTTCCACTGGAAGAACGAAGAGCTTACTTCCAGCAACAAAAACTGGATCACTTCACACCGGAGGTTTGAGAAAAAAATCTCGTGCTATCTTAGGATTGTTTATTCTTTAGGATACAAGGACGTTTCCTCAGAAATACTTCGAGCTATTGGACTACTTTGAGCCTCAACGAGGGCCGATGTTCCTGGTTATGTGTGGAGAGACCTCATGCCCGGGAGGATACGCTCAACTCACATCTGTAGGGGTACGCTGGACAACAACATTTTTTTCTTCTCGCTATTTTAAACTTTTCTTCAGGATGTTGCGAAGGAGTTTGGAGCCGCTGTCGTGACCTTGGAGCACAGATTCTACGGTGAAAGCTCACCATTTCACAACCTCACAGTTGACAACCTCAAGTATCTCACGATCCAGCAATCTTTGCTGGATCACGCGGAGTTTATCGCTTTCTATCAGGTGAACCTCCTTTTGTCACGCTCTCAACTCTCGTAAGATTCTTTTCTTTCAATTCTTCAGAAGGTAATCAATGCCAAGTTCCAGAAGGACGGAGACAATCCGTGGCTCGTGATCGGAGGTTCCTATGCGGGTGCTTTGAGTGCTTGGTTTAGACTGAAATTTCCGCACTTGGTGATTGGAAGCTGGGCCAGCTCTGCTGTGGTGCATCCGATCTTAAGCTACAGCGCTTACGACAGGCAGGTGATGAAAACTTGATTAATTATTTTTTTACCCTGATTCGCAGGCAGATGGGAATCACTGCTGGCCCAGAATGCAAGCGAGTGCTGCAGAATGTCACAAGCATTGTTGAGAAGGCTTTGCTAGAAAACGGAACCGCGATCAAATCTTTCTTTGATCCAAACGCTGTAAAGGTAAGTTTTTAGTGTTTTTTCTATCACTGAAGAAAGTAGTGTTGCTTTTGCAGCTGCAAGACGTCGATTTTCTGGCTTATGTGGCTGAGATAATAGCTGTTGCAGTAAGAAAAGAACTCCAACGCCATGTTTTTGTTCTTTCCTCTGATCTGTTCCGTTTTGCTACAATCCAGGCCCAAAGCGGACGGTTTAATCAGTTGTGTACTTCAGTACTCAACGCAAGTGCTACTAACAATGCTACAAAGCTTCTGGTAACTAAATTCATCTTCCACGTACAATCACCCAACTGTTTCAAACAGGACGTATTTTCATCCTTCCCAACCGGCCCTGTAGATTTCTTCGACGTGGAACTACTGAGACTTTCAGTACAAGCTAACCAAAGTAGTGCAAGAGATCAATGGGCCTGGAAGTATCAAGTTTGCACGGAAATGGGACTCTTTCGAGTCTCTAGCGGACCAGATGGCTTGTTTTCTCTCCAAATCAACACACAGTAAGAGCAACCAAACATAGCAATTCCTTCGAAGAACAATATAACTCTCGATGTCTCAGGTACTACTTGGATCAGTGCTCGCAAATGTTTGGGCAGGGAATCCGACCGGACGTTACAACGACAAACCTGTTGTTTGGGGGAGCAAAGATTGCCGGTACTTCCATGTTTTTGAGTATTTCTTTTCTCATGGTTTGTTCTTGTAGGCTCCAAGATCATGTTTCTAAATGGATCGGAGGACCCATGGCGGCATGCTTCGATCCAAAACATCACGTCTTCTTTTTCTGGTACACACATAGTCTTGCTAGAAGCGTTTGATCAATGGTTACTGTTTCTATTTCGCAGAGCCATCGTTTATGCTGGACTGCCACTCTTGTTCCCACGTCCAGGATTTCAAGACAGGGTGTGTGATAACAAGTAAGCCTCTTTTCGTTTTCTCCCCCAACTCCATAACTTTTCTACCAGATCCTCAAGAATGCGACATGCTAGACAAAGCTCGCGAGTTCATTCGCTTGCAAATTGGGAATTGGCTCCAGGAGTATATGAGCCAGCCCTAAAAGAATCATTTTATGAATATTCTTTCAAATTTGAATTTTTTCTGTTAACACGATACATGGTGGCGGCAATTCAGGGGCCCCGCGAAGGCCGTCATGGCCGGCACCAACGCCGCAGGCCTCGCGGGGAGACTCGATGCCTTGGCATATACCGCGGCGCTTCCCGCGCCCGAGGGCCTGAAATACGCGCCGTTGATGTAACTGTCGCCCTCGGATCGCCAGTTCCACTTCATCCAGCTCCGCTCGCCCGCAAACTCTCGCTTGGTCACCTGACAATGAGAGGAAGAACCCTAAATGTTAGCATTGTCAATCGTGCTGGAGTGCAAGCAAGTTTCTGTTTTGGGTGATGTACCTGCTTGGAGTTTACGTCGGCTGGCGCCACGAATCTGTTGCCCTGGCTGTTGATCGTCGGGTTTGCGCTGCCGCCGATCGCGTACATTCTCCAGTGCGTGTAGTGATTGTTGACGATGTGGAAGTATCCATACCGGCACCTGTTGGGATGTCTCACGCGATCAAGAACACAAGAGAGAAATTGAAGAAAAAACGAATCACGCACCTGGGCATTCGCTGCACAAGCCCCTCCCCGAAGTGATTGAAAGCGATGGTGACTTGCATCATCTTGTCGAGGGTGTAGCTATCGCTGTGGCCGAGCAACATCACCTGGAGTGAGCCACAAGGAATCTCGTAAGCTTGCGTTCGATTACTTGCAGGAATTGGGCAGAAACTTCAGGCGAAGCAATCCAGCAAGCAATCCAACATGCCAGAAAACCAGAAGAACGCAAGCAAAACGCATCCAAGCACCAAAATCCATGGGAAGCTTACCTTGTTGTGGTCGCGAAAGTAATTGTTTGAGATCGTGATCCCCGTGGATCCCATGATCGCGTCGATGAGGCCGTCCGCGCAGTCGGCCAGGAAGCAGTGGTCGATCCACACGTCCCGGGAGCCGAAGATGGATATTCCGTCGCCGTCCGACACCGTCCGCCAGCCGACGTGGCCGGGCGAGCTCCTTACCATGGCCGGCCCCGTACGGCGGCAGCTGTGGATGCCGATTCCGTGCACGATGACGTTGCGGACGTACTGCACGGTCAGGCACCCGCCGTACGCTATCCGTACCGCGTGCCCCCGGCCGTCGATCGTCTTGTGGCTGTTGACGATGAGCTCTTGGGAGAGGACGATGGTCATGTCGCGCGCGAAGATGATCCACAGTGGGCGGTCCTGGATGGCGCCGTAGCGCAGCGATCCGGGCCTCGGATTCACAGGATCGTCCGAGGGATCGGTGACCGTGTAGAAATCGCCGTCGCGGCCGCCGATGGTGTTCTTGCCGAAGCCGATGGCGCAGTCGGCCAGGCGCTTGCGGTGGGAGTGCCAGTGGGGATCGCAGCGCCAGCAATCGTCGATGGGGTTCCCGGTGGATCGGCAGCTCCGATCGCGCTGCTGTTGGTCGTCTTCTTGCCGCCCCCATTCTTGTTCTTGGTCTTGGATTAGGGTTCTTCTTCTTCTTTGATCGGCGTCATCGTCGTCATTACTCCTGCTGAAGAGATCGAGTGAGTTGGATGGAATGAATGCAGTAGGGCGGGATCAATCAAGGCAAGGTTGGTTGATCGGTGGCTTGAGCACCGGTCATGAATGAAGGAAAGGAAGAACAGGGGAGTCGGAAATCCGGGAAATTCAGAGCTGGGCGATGATTTGGGCGACATGGGTCGTGGATTTTGGAAGCGTTTGAGACGATGGCTTGGAATCGGTGCTGAATTGTGGATGATTTTTCGAGCGTGGCATCAACCGTGAGAAACAGAGCAGGGAAGAGGAAGGAGGCAATGTGGACACACCTGATGGATTTTTGGTGATCATGCTGCTCAGCCACCGCTGCCACCGCTGCCGCCGCCGCTGGATTGGCAATGCTGGAAAGATTGAGCGCCGCCGAGGATCTCACGAACACGAACAGCAGGACGAGCGCGAGCCTCTTGCAGAAATCCTTCATCGATCTGAGACCTTCCTCGTCTTCCTTCTCTCAGTTTCTATCTCCTCTTTCGATTTTAAGAGGAGGGAGGAGCGAATGTATCACATCAATGGATCCAACAACACCAGCGAGAGCAGAGGAGCGCTCTTGCAGCAGAGCGTTGTTGTTGCCAGGGAAACGAGGAAAGGAAGAAGCAAGAAAGAAAAATTAAAGGCAAAGAAAGAAAGCGCAGCGCAAAGAGCACAGGAGATGATCAATGCAATGCAGCAACCACTGCGCTCCTGCGAGAAAGGACCACAAATCACTGCCAGATCCCAACTGAAAAACAAACAAAATAAGACCAAAGCAAAAAGCGCAGCGCTCGCTTTCCTCTACTTTTTCTCTCTCCAATCTCTCTCCCCCCTCTCTCAAATCGCGAAGCGCGAAGAACAAAGAGAAGATCAATCAAGAACAAAACGAAGAACGAGCTCTCGATCGATCGCGTCGCCAAAGCTTCTAAAATATGAGCAACCAAGCAAGAATCTAAACGTTTGCCAGCTAACACAGATGCTTTCTTCCAAGCCTCATGCTTTTCTTCCCTCCCTTGTTCTTGGAATATCATATACGGGGGCGCATATCCCATCATACGATCCCTCGTAACGGGCATCTTTTCGTACGCCTCAAGAACACACAAGAAACCAAAAAAAAAGAGAGCTGGAATGGGACGTTTAGATGAATGCTTCGAGTACATATCAAGTCCAAAACTTTGAAGAAAGGAAAACATCACTCGCTAGAAACTAGTTGTCGAGATCTTCTTTTTTATCGGTTGCGTGGTGAGCTCTCTCTACTGTGACACTCCCAGCCACTTGGAGAAGTTCTCAAACTCCAAGTAATCACTGTCCGAGATCATCGTCTTGTACCACAAATTTCCAGCCTTGCTGATCGCAGCCTTCTCTTCGGGGTTCTGCAGAAACATCGATCGCAAAAGAGTTAAGTCAGGCCGGAAAAGAGAGAAAAAAAGTTCTTTTTTGTTTACCTGGGCGCGCTTGGCTGCGAGCTTCTCCTCCTTGGCGTTCTTCCGCCGCTCCTCCATCATCTTCCGGGCGGTGCTGGCGTACGGGTTGAGCTTCACCATCGCGTTGAAGTTCTTGAGCGGGTTCCTCTTGAGCGGCGCCCTCTTCACGTCGGTGATCTTGGGCCTCACCACGCTCTGGATCTCGTCCGAGTTGATGATCCGCGACAGGTCCGAGTTGGACATGATGGGACGCGGCAGCAGGTAGTTCTTCTTGAGCGCAGCCGGGGTGTCAAAGCTGCCAAAGATCTCGTCCAGTTTCTCAAAGGCACACTTGGTCCAGATGATGAACCGACCGAGGTGGCCGCCGGGGGCGAGCTGCAAAAGATTAAGACGATTCACGTTGCAAACCTCGATACCTGGGATGTTGGTGAAGGCCTTGACGAGCTTGGCCCCCTCGGTCCCGTAGATGATCAAGGGACCCCGGCGAGAAACATACCTCCGGTTGCGCATCTTTCCCTTACCGCAGCGGATGTTCCGGCTCTTCTTCACCTTCTCCACGTCCTCGTACGCGCCAAGCGTCTTGAGAGCCTTCACCGCCACCGAGGTCTTCTCGATCGACTCGAGGGCGTCGCTCACCACCAGCGGCACCTCGGGCACCTTCTCGATGCGGTGGCCGCGCGCGAGGAGCAGCGACGGGATCGCCGACGCCGCCAGAGCCGACACCACCGCGTAGCGCTTGAGATTGATGTTGAGCTTGCGGTGCCAGCGGCGGTACGTCTTGGTGGGCGCAAACATCCGCCCACCGCGACACATGTTGCCGAAAGCTCCCTGACCGGCGCGGTGAGTTCCTCCACCCGGCACGCGAGGAATTCGCGACACAGCGCGGCCCGTGCCCCATGACTCGGCCGACGTCTGGTGCCCTGCCTTCTTGCTCACCGCGTATGGCTGGCGCTTGTTCTTGGCGATGCCAGTGTGGACTTGCCGCACCACATCTGGCCGGATCGGGGACTTGAACACTTCAGCGAGTGCCGCGGTGACCCCAGCCTTCGTCGGATCGCCAGCTTCCAGTACCTGGACGGAAACAGTCGGTCGAGCCGCAGCCGCCATCTCCTCCTCCCAAAACCCTGCTCCGCCGCTGGAAGAACCCTAATGCCAAGAACCCCAGATCGAACGGCTGAAGTTAAAGAGGATTATGCTCTATATTTAACTGTTAGGGCATTGCTAAGGTGCGTTGACTAGAGCTGACTAACGACATTTCAAAATTGCTTGTCAGTGTATAGGGCGGTGGCTTTGATCTTGTTGGACTTCGCCACATCCAAGTAAGGATCCGAGAGGAATGCTTGATCGAACATCTCGATCGCTTCCACCCACTTCCCCTCGGCGACGTAAAGCAGTCCCAGATTGTTGCAAGCCGGGGCGTAGTTCGGGCAAATTCGCAGAGCCCTGTCGAAGGATTCGTGGGCCTCGGCAAATTTCTTCTGCTGCCTGTAGAGGTTTCCCAGGTTGGAGTGGAGACCGTAGGACTGGTTCTCGGGCATGAGGCTCAGCGCTCGCTTGTACACGGCCTCGGAGAGGGAGGGATCGTCGGACAAGTGGAGAGCTATGCCTGTGTAAACAACGAAGCTCGTCAAGGAAGAAAGACAAACAATGAAAAGTCGAGAGAACGCACCTAGATTCGACCAAGCCATTGCGAAAGTTCTTCGCCGAGCGATGGCCGATTTGAGATAGCTTTGTGCTGCGACGAACTGCAAGGTACACAGAGTGTGCAAGCCCAGCTGATGCCATTTCAAAGCATCCTCTGGATCTTCCTCGATTGCCTGCGAATATATCATCGCTCTTGTCACGAAGAAACAAAAGGAGAGAGTCGGAAGGAACTAGCTGAGAGCTTACCTGCTGGAGCGTATGAACTGCTCGTTCTTCCACATCTTTCGAGTCCATCACGCCACGATCGAAAGAAGCCGCGGATTCGTGCTGTGCCCGGTTCACCATCGCCAGTCCAGCCCATGCAAGATGAGGATGGAAAGTTCCTGGGTCTCCTTCTCTCAGGATAGAGGCCATCTCGTTTGCAGCCCACGACATTTGTTCCGATGGATCGTCTGATCTTTCGGCGTCTTTTATCCTGTGAGCGGCCACGGCATAACGAGTAGCTAGTCTGTGGGGCTCCAATCTGGAGGCCTGTGCTCAAAAAACAATGTTTTTGGCTTGGTGAAATAAAACATCGTACTTCTTACCTGTTCCAAACATTTGCTAGCGTTGGTAAAATCGCCCAGGACTTCATAAGCAGCAGCAAGATTGACCCAAGCCGAGCCAGCTTTCGGGTCTTCTTTCAAGCTGGTTTGCAAGTATAAACAAGCTGCGTGTGCGGCTTTTAGCTGTGTTGCATAAGCTCCGGTTTCTTTACTAGCTCCAGCTCCAGCTCCTGCAATCCCTTGCCTCAGACAGCTTATTCGTTACCGCAGTAGATTGCTTACCAGGCAAAAAGGAACCGTGTTGTCGCACAAGTATTGCTCCATAGTTAATAAGTGCTCCAGGGTGGTACACATCTTTCTCCAAGACCGACTGCAAGCATCGGGCTGCATTGTCCAGCTCGCCACTGTAAGCAAAAAGCGAAAATCACACAGGAAGAGAAAAGCTCGAGTACCTTTGGAAATATGCAACTCCAAGGTTCGCAAGAGCGTCGAGAGAGTCCGGTAATATACTCAACAGGCTCGTAAAAACAGAGATTGCGCTCTGCGATTACCAGAAAATCAAACAAAGACTTGACGGATTGACACCAACGTTCTCACTTGAATGCGGCCAGTGTGCAATAAAAGGAGTCCCAAAGTGTTCCATATGGAAGCTTGGCCAGAGTCCTCAGGAACGGCTTCCTTCACTTTTGAGCCAATCAAACGCATATTTTCTTTGGAGAAATCCTTTCCAGGCGAGATTTGCCCGCCGATCTTTCCCTGCAGAAGACACTGAAGAGAAAAAACGAAAACAATGAGCTTGGAGATGGCAAATCCATACAACATACCATACCTGCGCGTGATGGTTTTGTACCAAGGCCAACAACTGGGCTCTACCTTGGCGGCAAAGGTCATCGTCGGCTTGCTTTAGAATTTCTTGTGCTCTCTCAAAGGCGGGAATTGCCTAGAATGAACATTTATCGGCTTTACGGTCGAAAGAGCAAAAAAGCAGAACTCACTTTTAGTGGTTGGTCGGAACGCTGGTACATCAGTCCCAGGACGAAATGTGCGTGTGCATTCTTTGGTAGCTTTCGAGATACGTGCACAAGTCCCTGGAAACCAAGAGGATAAGAAACCAAAATCTCAGAAGAAACGTCCGGACGCTTACAGCTTTTAAGCTCTTGATCTTTTCTTCCTTCACGTTCTGTACATTGCCAGGATACTCCAAGTCCCCATCCACGCCGGACTCGGACCACTTAGATTTTGATCGAGACTTGAAAGTCTTCCCCGATTTCTTCCCTTCCTCATCCGCTGGACTGTCTTCCTTCAAAACTCGTCTTCTTCGTCTTTTCTCCTCTGGCCTGAAAACATAGAAAACAGAACGGTCCTTCACAGTTCTATCCAAACGGTAACAGTATGGGCTGTAAAACTTCTCCAAAGTCTTAGTTCTATGCCATTGGTTCTAGATTAGAGGAACTATAGTCTACTTGCGAAAGTCTTACCGAGCTTCACCTTCCTCCTCACCGTCGCTGGTGGGAGGCTCCACATTTAAATCGGCAAACACTCCACTGCTGCCACGAACAATCGACCCTTCCTCCGATTCCTCCACTTTCTCATCGCCGCTGTTGTCAGCGGCGGCGCCGTCCTTGGCTTCCACGCAGCAAATCTGCTTGCTAAAATCCTGATGGTGCTGCTCGGGGGGCTCGGATTTCACACCTGGATTGTACTGCTGCTGCTTGGAAGTCGAAGACGAGGAAGAAATCAGGCCGTGATGCTGGAGGGATTGATGGTGGAGCGCCTGCTGGTGGAGCGCTTGCTGGTGGAGCGCCTGTTCTTGCGCCTTGTTGATCCCTCGCTTGGAAGAGCCATCGGCCATAGAGCCCTAGACAAAACCCGCAAGTAAAAACGAGAGCTCCTTAAAAAGGGGGAAAAGAAAAGGGGAAATATTGTTTGTGCTGTGACGGCGGAATATTCGGTAAGATGAAACCTTCTTGCCGGCATTTTCATTTTCTAGGGTTTCCAGTGCTAGGGCGCGTAGATCGGCATCTCTCCCGGGGCGATCGGGCTTGTGAGTAGCGCCGGAGTGGCAGTCTTCCTTGGGCAGCGCAGTGAGCGATCGATCGTTTTGCTCGCCCTCATGATGCGTCCAATCGAGCAATGCTCTCAAGAACCGCGGGCGTGGGAGCGCTGGTGCCAGTGGATGCGCACGGAGATGGTGAATGCGCGCCGCGGCAGCACCGGATAACTTGGCAAGGGTCTCATTGGCATCGATTCGAGTATGGGGTCGCTGGATTCGCAGTTCTTGCAAAATTCCTTCCAGGATTTCGACTACGCCAATGCTAATGGTAGCTACAACTCCTACGCCGATCTTCTTCCTCTAGCGGCAACCCCAGTGGATCCGGCATACAATCCGCCTGCCTACAATCCCTTCGCCACAGGCTACGTTGCTGCCGATCAGGGACACCCGCCGCGATACAATCCTCTCTCCCAGAGCCTGCCAGCGTTTCCATCCGTGTGCTACAGCGATCCTCTTGTGAATTATCCCGCTGGGCGTGGATACAATCCGTTCGCTGAAGACTACGAGTTTTCAGAGCCGGAGGTGGGAATACCTGTTTACGAGCAGCAGCCTCTTCTAACGGGTCCTTACAATTATCTTCCAAACAGAGCGTCCACACCTCCCAGCATTCGGCAGTATGCTCACGCTCTCCCGGGAGCTTATAGCTTTCCAGTCCAGCAGGAGTTTGATCAGCCCCGCGAGCTGGTTCCAGTTCCTCCTCCGAAAGATGCCGTTTTTCCTTACAATCCTCCGGCTGACACCTCAAACTCGCAACGATTGCTCTGGCTATCGGAAGAGGAGGCGGAGATCATCAGGTTGATTCGAGTTTCGCAAATGAAGGTACTTTATTTGCGTTGTTACGTTGTCTCTGATATCCTGTTCCAGGAGAATTTGAGATCTTCTGGATTTTCCTTGTGCGAGGACCAACAGATTACTCCTGTTCTAAGTCCTAAGCTGGCTTCAGTACCAAATGCTGAGCAAACAGTCGAGAAAGCAGCACTGTGCATAGAAAGTAAGACTTTCAATTTACCGGTTGGCGAACTGGTCTTGCCAACTTCAGCTGAAGTGGCTCGTCCAAGGGCTAGTTTTGGAAAGGATGTCAACCAGAAAGCACCCCAGAGAGCACCTCAGAAAACACAAGAAGTGCAAGAAAAGGCATTGGATTGTAGCTTCGAGAAAGTCGACATTGCAAAGATCGTTGATGACGACCGGCAATGGATTGCAATGCAGAGACAGAAGATTACGGTGCGTCCCGAATGCTCATCACTTGTTGTGGTAACCACTGCGGTGATTTTGCAGGATATTACGGAACGTAAAAAGCAGAATGCAGCAGCCTGTATACAAAGGCATTGGCGAGAACACCGTGTAAAGGTTCTGCGAAGACAAAAATCAAGGATGAAGAAACGGAGTCCGGTTCCGCAGAAACCAAGCCCTACAAAGCCACCTAATGTATGAGCAATTCTTTTCTGCTTCTTGATCTTTCTCATTCCGTGCGACAGAATGTAAGACGACCAAGAGTATCCAAGCGGAGGCCTCCCACGATTCAAGAAGCAGCAAGGACTATCCAGCGCTCTTGGCGGGCGTGTTTTAGAAAGAAAAGACTGTTGAAGCCCAAGACGAAGGAAATTCTCCCGACTACATTGAAGGTGAACGAAGCCATCTTACAAATAGTTGTACTGAAAACTTTGTGCACTCTCAGGAGCTCTACGATGTAATCAAGCGGAGGCATGCCTCCAAAAACTTGAATCCTCCATCATACGGTACACACGCAGAGTAGGGGATTTCGATCAATGTGCTTACATCTACTTCCAGGAAAGTTTGTAAGAATTTTGGAACGCGTGCATGCGTGCACTGAAGGCGCAAGAGTGAGGAGGCGATTGAAAACGAGAAGGTTACAAGCAGTCGTCAAGGAGATAAAGGTTTCAAAAATCGATGTGCTCGTTTCTAGAATTTGAATGTTCCTGGATTACAGGAAATAAGGTTCCTCTTGGAGGACATGCTGCAGGAAACGGCGCCAGGTTCTTCCGAGCTTGTGCTTCAGCTTTCGGGACAGCTGCAACAGAAGATCATACAGTTGCATACTGCCCTGCAAGGTAGTATTCTTCATCTTGAATACTGGTCTTACCATTGGATTGCAACAGGTCCTGGAGATGCTGCTCGATATCTACTGCGACGTGGTCCAGCGACTCCTCTTGTCATTTATGGTTCTAGATCAACTTCTCCGACTTCACATCTTCAAAAGTCGGGGGAACAAGCTCAGATTCGTGTTATAGGAAATTCGCACACCGAAACTGGAGTTCCTTCTCTTAGGTGCTCACTTTTTACTGTCAACAAGTCGAGCGAGAAAGCGTCAGAAGGTTCGCAAGGCACAGGGAACACGCACAACCACCATCGGGTCCAGGTACCTCAAAGTGACTACACAGTCAAACATTTGAAGAGGCCAGCAACTTGTTCAGAAGCTCCTAGGAAAGGCGCTCCCGTTCACGAGGAACGAGGAAAAACTCAAGAGGTTGAAAGATCGGGGATGAGCAAGAACGCTCGGTATTACTTCATGGAAAAGAACTTGGACTCTCAGCTTCCAGTGCCAAAGGCTGACACCGAAAACGCCGTTGCCTCGAGGCTGTCACAATATTTAGTCACGCGGAGCAAGGAGCCTGATGACTATGGATACGAGAGCAGCATTAGAACCGTAGAGAGCGATGTCGAACAATCCGACCAAGAAAAGCCCAAGAGACCGTTTCTACGACGGAAGTCTATGGCAATGGCTCCACAAAAGCTAGATTGGTCTAAGGTATTTTTCTTTGTTATCACTCGTTTATTTTCTGGTTGTGACAACTTATATTGAAAGGTTAAGCCAATGGTCAGCTCAAGGTTGGAACCAGAGCTCAAGACGAAACTATACAGAAGTAAAGTCAAGGAGATTGCACGAAACGCGGCCTCGAAAAAGGTAGCAAGCTCTTCCAGCTTTGACATGCTTGATGTTTCGTTTTGTGTAGACGAACTATAACAACGTCAAGAGCCGCCTCTTCAACTATGAGACAAGCTCCGCAGTGGACGCATCGGGAGGTTTGAGCACGGACAGGAGCATCGACGTAGAGTATGTTGAAGGTCTAACCAAGCAGAGCTACACGGAGATTCACACGCAAGTGGATATGAGTTGCAAGGAGGATTACTGGAGGCCAGAGTCAGCTAGCTCTACTGTTCCATATTCTGCTGAGGCACCGGATTCCAGAAGTGGGAATTCCGCTCTCCCAACAAGGCCGTTCTCTCCAAAGCCGCCACCCAAACTTCCATCATATAGATATGGCAAATCGGGAAGGGACAGTTACTCTGAAGCGAGAATCCAGACAGAAGGAACTGCTCTGGAAGAGATAGATCACAACGGAGGATTGGAGAGGAAGAAACAAACTCACTCTTTCAGATACAAAGAAGCAGTAGCCGCTGCTCCAGAGACAAGTGTGGCCGAGAAGGCGCCATTGATGAATGAAACAGCGCCAGCAAAACGGGACTACGCTGACGAGCAGAGTGCGAAGGATGATACTGCTCGAAAGTCATTGAACGAGGTTAGGCACGGCTTCTTTCAATTTCTCCTAACCCCTTTTGACACTTTCTATCAGGGATCGTTTGCATCTCCGGAGCTGGAAACGATGTTCACGCACGTAATGTTAATGAAGGACGAGAAGAAAATGAGCGTACACCATCTCTTCGGGGCTCCACAGGTGAGAAAAAGATTCTAAATATCTCCCGCCTCTCACAACCATTCGTCAGGGAAATACGATCATTCCAAGGCTATCCCCGGATGCTTCGGTTTTTACGAGCAGCTTCTCCGAGGTGAGCATTGCTTTTCTTTGTTTGTTTGTTTAAAACACACGGTGGTGCAGAAGCGGAAGCTGCACGAGCTGTTAATACACGAAGGTCGCGCCAGCAAGTTGCAACCCGACGCACTAGCCTACGTCTGCATCCGAGAGTAACGCGAAAGCAATTCCTCCAGTATAACACAATCCATAAAATGACTCGCTTTTACTAGGTAGTCCCAAAAATTCAAAAGGATTTTCTTAAAAAAAAACTCTTAAAGCAAGTACCACTGCCAGACAACAAATCACTTCTACTTGCACCAATGAAAGTCAAATCGTATTGCCAACATTCCGAGAACTTGACATTCTCTTCGTCTTATCTTCTCTAACCTTGAAGACCATGGTTAATAAATCATTGGGTATTAAATTTCTTCTATGAGTTGTAAAGAACTAACTCTTTGAAGGTTCTAAGTTAAAAAGGTCCCTCAAAATTAAGATTAGAATGATAAAAAATTTGTCAGATGAGAATGAGTTCAAGACTCAATCTTCTAAGATTTGAGATTGGGTTTGAAATTAAGTTTGAAATTAAATCTGAGACCAAATTTGAAATTAAGCTTGAGACCCAAATCAAAATTGAATTGGAAACTGAGTCAAAACTAAGTTAAATGATTGTGTCTAGGGTTCTAATAGCTCTAAGTGGGAATGAACATGGGTTTGAAGGGTGCATAAAAGCCCCTCAAGGATATGCTCAAGAGTAATTCTTATTCTTGAAAAGGAAATTGTTCTTGACTCAAGTAGAACTTGAGTACTATGAAGCACTTGGGCCTTCCCTTTGGGACAAAGATGAAAAGTTAAGATACCCATACTGAGTCATTAGGTTATAGTGTTTCTTCTGGGGATCTTAAATTAAGAGATGCATCTAAAGCTTGGGATGTATAGATTTTTATAAATAAGTTTTATTATATCAAAGGAATTTTAAAACTTAAAAGCTTGATATGTTTGGCTTCATAAATTCTTAAACTCTCTCCCAATCCCTTTCTTTATGTTAGACTAGATATAAAGTTTGGCTACACTCTCTACAAATAGTCAATATTGTATTACTTGTGTAGTGAGTAACTAAACCTAAATAAGACAAAATAAGAGTTAATACAATAAGTGAGAACCTTAGCAAGGGAAATTAATTAAAGATAAGACAAAGGTGGTTAGATAAATGAAACTTATATAAAGATCCATAGAAAAGGTAATTATTGGTATAATTTGTTCTTAGGACAAAAACTTTTAGGAGGACGGGGGGAAGAGGATTTTTAGATGCTAGCTTTAACTGCATATTCAATATAGGTAAAAAATAAACCTAAGGGTATATTAAAGTATATAAAAACTTAGAATAAAGAACTTAACCTACCTAACAGCTCACAATGAAATGATGGCATAATAAATTTTTTGAGATAGTTTGGGAATGGTTGAATAGTGAGGAAACTCACAAGGAAGTATAACATAGTTTATGTAAGGTTAGGCCTCTTTATCTTTGCTATTTAGCACCAGATCATAACAAGTGCTAGCAAATTTTGATTTGACTCACTAGTATTTATTTCTATTTGAAACTAATGCTAAAGCAATTTCAGACATTTCTACTTTCATACTAGTAAATTACTTTCCATATGTAGTCCTGGAACACTTGCTAATAAAGTTTTAAATTTAAAAATATAATATTTAACACTCTATATACATTATATATCTTTATGTTTGTATGAGTAATTTATTAAATTCTTATTCTATACAATAAGAAATTTTATTGCATATAATAAAACTAAAAGATATATATACTAAAGTATGATGATTACTAAAACTATTATTTTTAGTCTAAGTTAGTACTAATAGTAAATTTATATATTAAAAATTGACCATCATTTATATTTATGAAATTATTTTTATATGTAAATATTGATTGCATATCACTTAAAAGTAGCATATTTAGAGAAATGTTCTTTTTTATTTAGCTACCAAAATATATAATCTTAAAATCTAAATAAGTCATTCAAAATATTTTAATTTTAATTTTTATAAAATATTGTGATACATAATACTTAAAAACTTTTGATTTTATTTTTTCTAAAATATTATTTAATAAATTAATTTCAAGTCATCTATATTTTTAAATATCTTCTATAGTCATATCTAGAGAAACACACTTCATTTGTAACTTTAAAATCAAAGAGCCTGGTGATAAAAAAACCCATATAAAAAATCATAATACTATATATCATAATACTTTGTATTGTGAGTGCTTGGGATATAAGAATAGGTATCTTAATTGGGGTTTAAACACTTGCTTATATACAAGAATGGATGGACCAGATTTAGTCCCAAATGAACAGTCCATATGCTATAGTACTATAATTAGTATATTACTTAGCTAGGGTAATACATTTATATACATTCATATATTTACAAATTTTACGCCATCTTCCCCTTTGGAAGATGAAAAGGTGATGATAATAAATCAGATGGAACATCTGAAGTTTTTGTTAGCAATTATAAACTATCATAAGAATTTGAAGCTCCCACAAAATCACTAACAAAGTTGTTGATAACCATGACTTAAATAAAATCTAAAGCCATGGTATAAACATTAGCTGACTACAAAATCTCGATAAACCAGTTGCAACTCCATATATAACTCCTAAATACTTAAACTAACCACACAATTATAACTTTGAATTGGGAAGTTGGACTCACTCTATTCGTTCTCCACATTCTCTTTATCCCCTTCTCAAAGGAAAAAATGTTTTGAAGCACTAGCTCCATTTGGACTTGCTGTGTTCGTCCTCACTTCACCATGTATGTTTGACATCACTCCACTATCGCATTTGTTTGGCTTTACTATATCAAGGCCAAATGTTCTATTTGGACTTACTATGCTTATTCTCACTCCACAATCCATATTGTTCATCCTCGCTCCGCTATCGTATGCGCTCATCCTCACTCCATCGTCGGGGCCGGAATCCCATCCGTCCCCTCTACCCCTCCTCCGAAGAAAAAAAATGTTTGAAGCATTAGGGAAAAAAAGAGAAAATGAGAAAAATTGAGGAAAAACAATTGTGGAAGAAGAAAAAGTGAATAAAGAAGCATCAAAAGAGGACTTTGCAACAACTAGTGATGTAGAAATGGGGAAATTAGAAAAACATGTACTTAAACTTTGGAAAATAAGGGACTTCCTATCATAAAATACTTTAGCCATCACAATATAAGCAAAAGATTCATCTTGCTCAACTGTCGCGAATGTGACTTCGGGTATCGAAAGATACTTGTCGACCGGTCCTTACGGACACTCTTTCCTTACTGCCATGACAGCAGGAGGTCGGTACTGCTGGTTCCCTTTATTGGCCCCTCTTGTCTAAGTGTTAGTAAACTGGACTTAGCATCTGTACTTGGCCGGAAGAGCATAAGGACGGAATTCCTAAGTGTCTATTTGGCCAAGCATACTTGGCCCGGCTTTTTAGTTCTCTTTTGCTTTGTCTTGCACTGGCTTGGCAAGAACCCTCGCGTATTGAGACTAGTCCCTCAATATCGCTGGATGATAGCTTACCGTGTCTGCCAAACACCCTCGCTATCATACCCTTAGTGTTGGTCTCATTTCGGTCCCATATGCTATTTATGGAAAGTGTCTAGATTCGCTCATTTGGCATATCTACAGAATGTAGAGAGTGGCCTGAACACAATGGTGTTCGTCCCATGTCCAAATTCGCAATCTAAGGCCATTCCATATTTAGTAAGTTTCGGACTTGTCCCAGAGACTAACTCCTGGTACTAAGGGAGGCTTGGGGTGAAAGCCCAAAGCGTGTGTCCCTCAAGGGGGGGGGGGCTGTGGGGGGTTCCAAATGTATAGTAGGGATAGTGGTTGGAATGCATGTCCGACCACCTGAGACATTAGTTTGGCTCCCGCTGGGCTATGTCGCTCCTTGTTCTGCGTCCGGCTTGGGTCTAAGCCCAAGCTCCACGCTGCTCTAGTCGGTGGAGTACCCTCCTCCTCGCGTTAGGCCACCGGTATGCCAAAATTGTGCCAGACTCCGTCTGACACCATTTTGCGTGCAGGTGCTAGATACGGGGAGCTGGTGCTCGTGGGATTGTACCGGACCCTCGTTTCGTATCGCAACGGGCTTGGAGTTTGGCTCCAAATTCAAGTGCGCTACATTTGGTATCAGAGGACTGTCTCAGCGATTTCTATCCAACTTTTGTCGGATTTTCTGACTCAAGTTGCATACGCAGAAACTTTGCTAGTAGATCCGAAGCGACCTGTGTAGGATTAGTTGGATTGCACCATTCGGTAAGAACGTTGTATGCATGTTCAGTTACTGATAGAGGCATGCATGCAGCTAGCAGGATGGTGAAGAGGAACCGTGCTGATGACGCTGAAACCTCTAGACAGGCGAATCAAGAGGAGGAAACTCCTGCTAGAGATGCTGCGGAAGGGGCTGAGGCCGAGTCGGAAGAGGAAGAGCCAGATGCTGCGGCATTGCAGCGTACGGCTCAGGAAGTTGAGATCGAGAATTTGCGAAGGGAGATTCGCAAATTGAAGAAGGAGAACAAGAAGAGGAAGAAAGAAGCTGAGGCAGCTAAACCAGCTAAGCCTAAGCAACCGGACTCCTCTTCGAGTTCTGAGGACGACGAAGTTCTGCAGCCGCCCCCGGTTGCACGAGTTTCAAAGTTCAAGCCTCCAAAACCACCCAACTTCAGAGGCATGCGGGACTATCAAGTTTTGGAAGACTGGGTCTACAATATGGAAAACTATTTCATAGCGGCAGACGTAGATGATCGTATGAAAGTTGCGTGTGTGCAATCCTTTCTCACCGATCATGCCAAAACTTGGTGGCGCCAGGTGTGTGCTGAAAAAGGGCAGACTAGAAGTTGGACCAAGATGTGGTCTCGTATCCGTAAGGAATACTTGCCGGATGATCTTGGTCTGAGACTTCGCACAGAGCTGCGGCGGTTAAAGCAGCGAGGGGACCTTATGCATTACATTAATGCGTTTGCTCAGAAGCGCATTATGATTGCAAATATGAGTGACGAAGATGCTCGGAGTTATTTCCTGGAGGGTTTAAGTTCACTTTCTCGTAATGAGATCTTGAAGTTTAAGCCGAAGACATACCTGGAGTGTAAGGAGGCAGCGCAGCAAGTTGCCTTTAGTCACTCGCTCATAGAACAATATCAGAAATCTTATGCTGGTAACTCGGATAAGAATAGGAATTCTGGGAATAAGCAAGGTGATCGGAAACAAAGGGTGGAAAGTAGGTACCGCCCTGGGGGCTCACAAGCTACGGTGAATAAAGGTGGTGGTGG